TTTTTTGTTAGTTATTTAGATTGAAATGACTAAAATTTTGTAATATATACATAACATAATAATATCAATGGCATAGTGCACAAGTGTGATAAATGATTTTTTTTTAAAATTAATTTTATCCGGGAAAAAAATGCACTCATCACACCTGTGCACTACTATTGAAGTGTATTTTATACTTGGTATGATTTAAATTAATAATAACAATAACTTTAAATTAAAACTTATGAAAACTACAAATTATATACTTGCATTGATTTCACAATTAAAAAATTTAATAGGTAATTCAATATAATCACACGATAAATATTTTAACAGCTTAATGATACAATTCTAGCAAAAAAATAAAAAATTGAAATACCTAATAAAATAAAATAATTGTTTAAATCCAAAGCATAAAGCGCACGAATGTCTTAATTATATTGGATTAACTTAACGCAAGCTAAAGATAACCAATAGTTTTTTGTTTTTGCATAAACATTAAGTTTTTTACATCATAATAATTATATATTTTTTTTATGAATATTGAATAAATAATAAACTTAATTTATTTGGTAGGAATTTTACTATTAATTAGATAGTATTAATTTAATTAAAAAATAAATAAACTTGAAGGCTAAATTTACTATGTATTTAATTCAATATGAAACTTAATAATATACTTAATAAATGTAAAAATACATTTTCAACTATTTTTAAGGAACTTTTTTTTATTAATAAAAGAGTTTCACTTTAGTTATTATTCATTTACAAACTGTAGGTATAAATTGTATTATACTTTTATTTTGTTGCAATTTCATCTAATTTTTTTTTCTTTATCCAGATAATCAAAGACATGAATGTCAAAGGAAAGAACGACAATCAGATGTATTATCGAACTGTATGAACTCCTTAACTTAAATTGAACTCGAGTGCCAGCAAAGAGTTCGCATAGGACTATTGTCAATTCAATTTGACACATCGTCATACTGATTTTTTTTTATAACTACGTATAAAATTAATTTCTTTCTCTTAAATTGCTTGATATATTTTTATGAAAAATTATGTGTGTTCATGAATCTAATATCAGAGTAATATTATTATTATGTATACTGTACACAAGTTAAAAACTGCATAGTTACTTTATAATTGAAAAAAAAAACCAACCTAATAAATTATTAGTAAATAAAACGTTTATTCATCTACTAAAAACAAAACATTGAATTTTTTTTGTTTCTAATTTTTAAGTAGAAAATGTTACACTTATTATGATTATAATTTAAAACTAGTATATATTTTGTGTGGAAAATTTAATATTTAATTAAACGTATTGATTTAAATTGTTTTTTACCATTAAAATATTATTACATGTGAATTTCTCAATCCAAATTGTTGTTTTCTTTATCTTTACTAAATATAAAAAGTATCAGTTATAAAAAAATAGTTAAAACAAAACAAATGTTCAATTATAGTTCATATTAATTTAAAATTGGTAGATATTTTGTCCGACCGATGGGACAGTATGAAGGTTTTGTTTACTCGGACTCGTATTATATATGTTACTATCACTAACAATGCTATAAGCTTTTGGGAAAAATGATGTATCTGTATAATATTATTATGCCTATAAATGTTCATAATAATTTTTTAAAAAAATGTGTATAAGTTATAAAAATAAAAGTTTTAGCAACATATGACATATGCATGTATATTATGTATGTTATCTTTTCAGTTTTACACTAGAACACAATTATTTAACGACTAGTTTTAGTTTCTACCGTTATTGATAAAATCCTACTACTTTATATAATATGTAAAAATAATGTAAAATCTTTAAATTCCACTTCCTCTATAGAAAGACCAAAATTCTATTCACCAAGTCTATGCAATTTTTTTCTTTTTTGTTGCTATTTTATTTAGACGATCAACAACTTTATACAAATATATTTTAATTCTATGAAAAACCAATATTTTCAAAAAATTATTATTTTACTATTTTTGTGACCGTTACGATGGTGTTAAACAAAATATATTAAGTCATAATAGAAATTTACAAAGAACTTATATACATTTTAACTGCCAATGGTTATGTACAGAATAATAACCAAATACATAAATATCTATATTTTTTTTAACAGTTAAATAATAATTATTCATAATTTTATAGGCCATAATTCACGGTTTGTTGTTGATCGAAAACTTGTGTTCTGTCTCTTTAATATTAGGCTGCTGCTACTTGATGGCAAACGTTTTGAAAATAAACCATAGCCATTATTTTAAATTTGGTTACAAATAGCAAACAGAATTTAAATGATTATAGATTTTAACTTGTCCAAAATACTAGAGGTTTTTGTATTTTCCATAATAATTTTGATTTTGAATTTAAAAATTCTATTAGATAAAAACTTTGGAATTTGACTATCTTAAAATACAATAGTGGATTTTGACGATTGCAAAATAATTTTTGATTTTAAATTATCCAAAATACAAAAAAAATAGTAATATTGAATTTTTATGATAATTTTGGTTTTACCGGAAAATTTTTAATAATTCAAAATAGTTTGGGATTTTGAGTTTTTTTAAATACTAGAGGTTTGAGTTTTTTTCAATTTGCTTTATTAATTTTGATTTTGAGTTTTCCAAAACGCTGTAAGATGAATTTTAACGGTCAAAATAATTTTGAAATTTGAATTACTCAAAAAAACCTAATGTAGGATTTTGACTTTTGCAAAATAGTATATGTGGAAAATTAGATAAGTATGTATTCATGAACCAATGTATAAAATTTCAAATAAAAACTCTGTTCTTATCAGCTTAACATCTGATACACCTCACATCGTGGGGTTCATATGTTAAACTAATTTTTTCAAATTGGTGGAGAATTTGGGGTTTGCTCCTACTCCACCGCGGGTTGACCCGGTATTGCAGTACCACCGGGAACGGCCCAAATAAACGTCTTAAAAGCACTTAAAAGTAATACTAAATTACCCAGGCCTCCGATAAAGAACAGAGTACGAACACCCGCTCTCCAAGGACGGTCACGACCGTCAGGCGAGAGGGTGAGGTTCACCACTCCCACCCGGGAGGGCGAGAGTAGATCACCGAAATCGCCTCAAACACTCCCACCCGCCCTTAGGCTCGCGAGCTGCGGGAAGGGCGATATATGTGCATGAGCATTAGCATCTATATAATAGTTACCGAACAGAGTTTTTATACGCGTTACCGCAATAGTGCACCCTTTCGTGTTTTATGTATTATACGTCGGTGTGTTATCGTGTGCGTCCAGTGAATTATTTTTATTTTGAGTTCGTGAATAAATATTTATTTGAATTATTCCTATTTTTTTAAATTACTTTCGTGTTAATCGTTGAATTATTCTTCTTTTTGTACGTCGCGTGTCAATTTTAATGGTTTTGGTATTACCCCCGTCGGGATGAGCTACGCTGGAGACAGCCAAGGTGGCCGGTGCGTCTCGAGAGCCTGATCCGCCACAGCGAGTCACGCGAGCGACTGCGTCCCAAACGCGTCCGTCGGTGGACTACCGTGAGAGCGATGGCGAAGCGGTCGAGCACGAGGAGCAGGCGGCACCCGCCACTAGCCGAACGCGGCGAACCGCCCGGGCGGTGAACGCGGAGCGTCCCGGACCGAGCAGTGGAGCGGTCACGGTGCAGCGTCGGCAGCCGACCCTGGAAGGTGAGGCGCTGACCGTGTGGTATCCTACTCGCACGTGTATAACGTGCCCAATACCGGGGTGTGCAGGATCGTTCAGTGCCGCCGTTTGGACACAGTCCAAGCAGTCCTTAATTAGGCATTTGAGGGAGATGCACGACCTCGTGGGGCTGACCACGTCGGTTGTGTGCGTGGGATGCGAAATGACGATGGGCTTGAGGCCGGGTGCGCACAGATGCGACCGGTCGATAGCCGCGGACGACGAAGCCGCGACCGTTAACCGTTATATGTGCCGAGAGGAGGAGTGTGGTAGGTCATTTCCCAGTAAACAGGGCCTGGCCAATCACACGCGGGACCACCGCAGGCGCGTGATCGCCGAGGCCGCAGCCGTCGTCATGCCCGTGCCGGCCACGAGGCAGCGAGGCGGTGTTCCTCGCACCGGCAGAGGCGGGGACCCGAGGATACCGGAAGTAACGGTTATACCACCGGACGCATCGCCACCCCAACGGATCGCGACACCCGTTCCGCCGCCGATCGAACCACCTCCGCGGGTTTTGAGGCCCGCTCAGACCCGGGTTCCGACGCCGGTCCGACCGGTGGAGGCGAGGCTTATCACACCCCCCGAGCCGCGGCGGGATTCACCACGGAACGAAGGGTATGTGGTGACATACGCGAGCCCTGAGCTGTGGACGCCCAGTCCGCTAGCCAGTACCCAGGCCTCCGACCAGGGGAGCAACACGGAGGAAGTAGCGGATAGCGTAGTCGAAGACGAAGAGGGCTCCTCGGACATTGACCACCCTCTACGGCCTGATGACACTACCGCTATACACGCTCACCTCCCGTGTGTGCTCGAGATCTTGGCGGCGCCGACGACGGCCGACACGTGGGAGAGGTTTACCGGTCTGGTGGAGCGGATTACCGCCGACGCCAAGGCGATGGCGAAGATACCAGACAGGCCCCCTAGGAGCAACGTGAGAGCGCGGGTTAACGTGGAGGATGCCGAGGCCCTGCAAAAGCTATACCGGAGAAACAGGAGAAAAGCTGTTCGCGCTATTGTCGGGGGCGACGGCGTGCGGTGTGAGATACCGGTCGAGGAGGTCGAGGCCCACTTTCGGGCGGTATGGGCTGGCACGGAGGGCGACCCGACTATATAACACAGAGTCCTCGCGTTTGCCGATGATCTCTGTATAATTGGCGACAGCCCGCCGGAACTGCAGGCGGCTGTACGGACGGCCGAAGAACAGCTGGGCCGGATTGCACTGAAAGTGAATGCCGCGAAATGCGCCTCGTTACACCTATCTGGTCTCACTCCTGTTGGTGCCCGTGAGACGGTGTTTACGGTAGCCGGAGGCGACATGAGGACGCTCAGCGAGGGAGATGCTGCGGTCTTTCTGGGAGTCCAGGTCGGCTTCAATATCGTGCCACCGATGTCCACGTTGGCCGATATTACCGACCTGGGCCTTAGGATAGTGCGCAGCAAACTTGCACCATGGCAGCGGCTCGACGCGCTAAAAACATTCTTTTACCCGGCGGCCACCTTTTCCCAAAGGTTCAGCGAGTTTAAAAAGACAGATTGGGAGACGGTCGACCGAATTATGCGGCCGGAAATCAAATCCACGCTCGGGTTACCGCAGGAGGCGAGTAATGATTATCTGTACGGCTCGGCAGCTGGTGGAGCGTGTGCGATCCGTATGTTGGCCGAGGATGCTGACATAGCTGCGGTCGACAGCGCGTTTAAACTCCTCACCTCGCCGGATCATCGCGTGTTAGCGGACGCGTGGACCCACCTCAAGGAGGTGGTCAGCAGTAAGGCGGGTAGACCCGCGGACGTTCCGCTGGCGGGCGACTTCCTCTCGGGAAGTATGGATGGTGACTTGGCGTCGGCGCGGTCACGGACCGGAGTGAAATCGGTGTGGTCGAATGCTCGTAATGCTTCTCGGCGAATAAATGTTACATGGAACCCGGAAGGCGACGCCGTTACGATCCGGAGGAGAGGACCAACGATGCGGCCGAAGCAACGCCACGAGGTTATGAAAACGTTACGTGAAGAGTTGCGGATGGAACGGAGCGAGTCGCTCCGCGCTAAGCCTGACCAAGGTCGGGCGATGGAGTGTGTTGCGGCGCACCGAGCGTCATCACACTTCATACGCGCGGGCGACTACACCAGGTTCGCCGACTGGCGTTTCATTCACCGGGCACGGCTCAATCTCGTGGCGCTGAACGGGTCAGCGTCGTGGCGGTCTGGCGACCGCAGTTGTCGGCGATGTGGGTATATTACTGAAAGCCTAGCCCACGTCGTTGACCACTGCTGGCGCTATGCCGCCATGTACATGGCCCGCCACAATGCGGTTGTAGCGAGAATTAAGAAGGCGGCGGAACCCAAATTCGAAATTCTGAGCGAGAACCAGGTGATCGGGAGCGGAGGACTGCGGCCCGACCTGGTGCTCAGGCGTGACGGTCGGGTTTATATCGTCGACGTGACGATCCCGGCCGAAAACCGCGTTGCATCGTTCAAAACAGCCGCCGACGGGAAACGTGCGAAATATGAAGATTTACGGGCCGAGTTGGCCGAGGCTAATGCAGGAGCAGTGGTGTACCCAGTGGTAGTGGGTGCACTCGGGTCTTGGGACCCGAGCAACGATCTGCTCCTGCAGAAGCTGTGTGCGCGGTCATACGCTTCGCTGTTGCGAAAACTGTGCGTCAGTGAGGTGATTGGATACACTCGAGATATATACATCGAGCACCTCACTGACGTACGGCAGCGGCAGCTGTAGGCCGGCACACAATGTTACCTATTTTACCTTCTTTTTTATACTGTGATTTCTACTTATTATTATTATTATTTTTTTGTTTTCTATGTCATTTTTATGTAGAATGTTTAAAATGTATTATGTTATATGTGGAAAATTAGATAAGTATGTATTCATGAACCAATGTATAAAATTTCAAATAAAAACTCTGTTCTTATCAGCTTAACATCTGATACACCTCACATCGTGGGGTTCAAATGTTAAACTAATTTTTTCAAATTGGTGGAGAATTTGGGGCTTGCTCCTACTCCACCGCGGGTTGACCCGGTATTGCAGTACCACCGGGAACGGCCCAAATAAACGTCTTAAAAGCACTTAAAAGTAATACTAAATTGATTTGACTTAATTTTTGAAAAACCAAAATAATTTTGGGAAAATCAAAATTTAATTGTAAAACACTCCAATATTTTTTGGAATTTTCAAAATTATTTTGATTTGTTCAAAATCACGATGGACGACTCAAAACTATTTTGAATAAGTCAGATCCATAATATTTTTCGAAATTACATTTGTACAATACAATCATAGTTTTTGAAAAATAACAATTCATTAAATTTCGAAAATAGTTGTGGACTTGTTTAATTTTATGTTCAAACTACAATATATTAATTTGTCCTCGACTACTGTATAGTAACTAATTTAAAAAACAGCAGTCGTTTGGTTTCAAAATGATCGTCACCACCTGCTTAAGCCGCAGTAGCCCAAAAATTAAACAACAATCAAAGACCAGTTATTTTGAAAAATGTCAAATTCCAAATATTATATACCATGGTCAACAAAATATAAAATATACATATGAAGTATTTATTAAAAAACAAATCCTTAGCAACCGACATTTATTATTACTAAATTATTATCAGTTCTTATAAAATATTATCATTACTTCATATTGCTACACTTGGTCAAAAATGCCAAATACTCCTTAGGGAACCAAACATTTTAAATTTCAAAATTCAGTTTTTAAAATTTCCTTTATTCATTCATCGCGTGGTTGTGTGATGTATTTGCTAAATAATTGAATCTTACAAACATTGCCATGGCTCTTAATAACCAAAATTCCATTCATCATTACATTGTTCAACAATTAACATATTATCAGTCTGTCCATTTATCGTCAAGTACCTAATGTACAAACATATTTTAAACGTGCACAATATTTAAATAATGTAATTTAGTTTGAATTTAACTACATTTTATGCAGTGTGATATCATATTATATTATTAAAAAAAAGAATATTGTGTTTAAATAAGTAAAATAAACTCCCATTCTCCGCCAACGACCATACCACGTTGAATACACCAGTTCTCGTCCGATCACTGAAGTTAAGCAACGTCGGGCGTAGTTAGTACTTGGATGGGTGACCGCTTGGGAACACTACGTGCCGTTGGCATACTTTTTGCATTTATTACTGTACACCATTTTTTTGTTGTGTTGTATGAACTTAAATTGTACGTCCACAGGCGGATAAGCTAAATTTTTGTTACTGGAAAAATATATGAAAACAGCTCTAAGCTGTTATTACTATCATCCACTTTTAATACATATTTTTTTGTTAAAATTGTTTTGGTTGAATCTTTAAAAATGTATTTCATGTTAAAATACTTAATATAATTGAACACATTATTTATAAAATATAAACATACCTACATTTGTATAAATGTTATGTTAAATAATAATAATTCAAAGAATAACGCAGTTGGGTATTGTTGTATTTAATTTGTCTATATCCTTCTTAACTTTTTTTTTTATTGGAATATATTTAAACATATTATCTAGTAGTAGATGTTACAATTGCATGATAATTGCTCATTCCGCCATTCCATAAAGTTCAAAAAGTATGAAATAAGGTTTTAAAACTTTTTTCTAAGCTTTATAGTTTTAATTTTTTTTCAAATGATACCTACACAATGTAGAGTACAATATTGGTAAACAACAATATAGTTATTCTTGCCCTGTGATTATTACTGTAGATAAAAGTTTTTATAGATGTTTTTGTTGTCTGGAGAAAAACGACTGGGGCAAAAATATGTACATTTTTCTTCTGTGTGGATATGTATGGTTGAGTTATATTTATCCAATTCGGTTATTAGTCAGTTATATTATATTGTTTAATTCGAATAAACTAAAGTATTCGTTGTTCTCGGTTTTGTAGGAAAAAATATCTACAGTTTATTAATTAATACAAGCTGTTTGCGCAAATAAAATACTTATTATATTACCTGGCAACTATTTGAAGGAATGACAACAATAATTTAATTAAAACGCTCATTACAATAATTTTACCGTACACCTACAATTTGTTTTCACAGATTTGTGGGATACGAATGGTCTTAAATTTGTTTGCATGATTGATATTCGATTTTGTATTATTAGGCGTCCAAGTCTATGTAACACAATATGAATAATTAAAATAACCCATAATAGTATTTAAAATTCATATTTATAGTGTTTAAGTCACTTTTTACACAGCCTCTTCGGCTTAGATTAAAGCTAATACATTTCGTGGTTTCGTTGTAGTGAAAACCAAGTTAGTTCAATTAATCTTTGATGTCTTAAGTCTTTTATGTATGATTATTCAATTAATTTGTATAACTGCCGAAGGTTTAATAAATATACTACATGTAATAACATTTTTTTAAATTTAATTTTTCCATTATACTTTGATTGTAATGCAATATACATATATTAAATTAATATATGACTTTATAAGTTATCTGAAAAAACTACTATTTTTAAACTTGAATAATTTCGAAAGCAATTTTATAAGATAAAGTCTGTATGGAAAGTTGCGGGAATCGGTTAATAGTATTGTCGCTTAATACTAATTAGCGGTTTTACTATTTCTTTTTCCTTCCTTCTTTAGATAGACTATTTTTGGCGTTATAGAGGTTTCTGCCTTATAAAAAGTTGCTTTGTACAGGCCATGTGTACAGTGTACTCTCAATAACGCAATTCACACTTATTGTTTTCCTCTAAACGGCACATTTTTTCTGAAGTGGTGTATATCACTCTTTGACTTTAAAAAATTACCCTTTAAGAAAATATGTTTTTGTGTTTTACTAGACTACTTAAGAGGATATTACACCACCAGGATTTTGGTATTCAAACTCGCTGTGCGAGGGACGAGGTCTATTTTAAATATTTAAGATTATCCAATTTGTTGGTTTGTTTATTAAAAATTATCGATTTCAGAAAAAGAAAAAATATAATTACAAATACATATACAATTTCAGCTGCTACGAGTAGTCCAACCCAAGAAATTAAACAAAGTTTAGTAAACAATATTTATCTGACTCTGTTCTACTATAGTAAAACGTATCGTAACGCCAGCATTGATTATTACTTATATGATGTGATGTGATGTGCGTACAATGAGGAAATGTGTGCTTATTATCTATTAAAAATATATAACATACATCTAAGTTAGAAATGGCTAGGCTTGAATAGTCGTTATAATGGTTTATTAAATTTTAAAAAGATCAAATCGTTGTGAATGTGTGATTAGAAGAAAAACATTTGAAATATTTTTAAAATTGACTTAGTAGACAAAAAATAATTAACGAAATATGTTTCATTTCACGTAATACTTTTATATGTATATTATAATAAAAAATATTATTGCCTTTGAGAAAACCTGATTAACTAATTAAGATCGTCATTATTCTATCTAAAAATGTCATCTATCTAAAAACTATAACCATAGTTCAAACACTAAGTTTAACACAAAACATAAAACTTTTTAGAAACTAAAAAATAGTTTATGTATAAGCAGTAAATGTGTTGCATTTGTGTAACTGTGTTTTGATATTCACTTTTTTTTTTGTGTCTGGAACCTAAATATGTTTTAAACCACTGAACCGATTTCTTCGTGTAGCAACACTATATAAATCAGAAATTGCATCTAAAAGGCCAAATATTTTAAAAAGTCAACCCTTCCCCTTCAAAATCGAGGAAACCCCCAAAAAGATTTACATATTTTTCAATTTAGACTTACAGCGCTCCATAACTTAATTAAAAATAGTCCAATTACTTACAATGAAGTATAGAATATTCTTAAGACATAGTACAATATCACATTCCCTTTCCCGTAAAATAGATGGTATTTTTTCTTTATTTCACTTTTACAAGTTTTAGGGATTTTGGTCTGAAAGTTAGCAAAAGGTAGATCTTGAATTAAACTATGACGTATACAATTTTCCGAATAATAATTGTTATTATTGATATTTATTATTTTATTTCCAAACTTACCAAACCATACTTTATACTTACTATACCATATTTATTACAACTACTCACTTACGTATAATACTTTCTTATTGTGCTTGTTTTATACTAGATTGGTTTTAAGCTACTATCCACCGATTTGCATCAAAGTGTTAATTGAAAAGTAATTTAATCACTTTTTGTTGTAACCGTTTATATAGATCTGTGAGTTCCTCTCACCTTTATATGCTACGACCTTAATGTATTTGTTCAATGTATTATTAAACAAATCAAAATTGACCAATACAAAATATTATTCTATCATAAATAACTAAAAATTTGAAGTTTTTTTTTAAACATATATTTGGAATTGTAATAGTCAGTTAATAATTATAAAATGGAATTTTATAGCTGTACAGATTTTGTAATTTTATAAAATGTGTATTTCACAATTTGAATATTTTATTACGCGAATAACTGTTGCGGCTGTGGACGAGGTGTTTCGAGTTCTATGTCGGCTGGTTTTTCAATTATTCTTAGACAGATAATTCGTTTTATGGTATGGATTTGTTTGAATTTTCTTGGAATTCGTTACGGTACGTACGTAACACGTGTTTTATCATTTACCGCATCGTACTCGAAGCCAACAGATGCCCAGAGTTCGCTTAAGCTCGAGTTGACGTTAAAATCTATCCGATTTTCAATTTGTTGCATTACTTGATGGGGATTTAATATTCCATGCATTCTTCGAATTTCTCGCCCAATTCCGGCAATTACAATGTCTTTATTAGGTCTGCAAAAATCATTATAGAACTTACCCAAGCGTTGTAAGGCGGTGTTCATATTATTTTCGGTAGCATTGATTATTGAGTCGTGGTAAGTTTGGTCGCCGGAATCATTATCGAAAAACAAGGTGCTGTAGAACCTCCTGAATTCTTCTAACAATTCGGACACGTCATTGTCGTACGTCGTTATTGGGAATTCATCGGTAATACACGAAAGCGTGGCCAGAACGCGCACCACAAGTCGGTCGATATTTTGGATCATTTGCCTAAACTTGGTTATACATACCGCGGTTGTGGCGGTATCTCCGATGTCCTTACACTTGAGTACTGCGTCTATAGTGTAATGGTAACACACGTTTAGAGTGCTGGCGTACTGACAGCTGAAAAGCTGATGTGCTAGACGGATTTTAATATCCGCGTTTCTGACCGTGACTAGTGGTTGGCGGCCGTGATTTCCGTCGGTTTCTAGTATATCTTTGGCGGACAAGAGGCGGCGGGTGTTCATCCATGGCACGGCTATCTTGATATCATCGCGTTGCGACATATTCCTCCAACCGGATAAAGTGAATATATAGTTCAAAGCATCAACATGGTACTGCGATACCGGATCTGCTGCTACTAAAGCGGACATGAAAAGCGTTAAAAAAATTAAAAATATATCACGTCCGGCTTTCATTTTTTATAATATACGACGATCACAACGCTCTTGAAGTACAGGCTTGACTAAAATCCGTTGCAGAAAAATGTACACCGACGATTTAATAAAAGCCGAACAAAGGAAAATTGAGAGATATTAAATTCTTATTGCGGTATGTACAAACTAGACATAGGTTGAAATTATTTTTGATACTCGCCAATCGGGTTCGCTGCATGTGAATATTTGTTCAGATGTTGCTATGAGCTTGAAATGAAAAAACACAAAAGAAATTGGTGTCTAAAATGAATTTTTTTTTTTTACAAAAAGAAATTTATAGTTTGGTTTTTGGTCGAAAACAAGTTTTCATTAAAATTATTTTTATATACCTAGCTATAATATTATCATATATAACATACTAAATACTAATACATTGTATGCTACTGTACACCGTTAGTCACATAACTATAGTAAATGTTAAAACTATTTATTTTCTTGCATTTTAGAACCCTGGTTACAGATTAATTATAGACATTTTTAATTAAATAGAAATAACAATTTGAAACTAAAAAGAAATAGTAATTTAGCACTATTTCAGTTTGAATTTTGATAATAACAACATAAAACGCGCGCAATTCAAACGGGACTATATTGATAACAGAATAGTTGGCGCGAAAATATTTTGGCCTTATCATTAACGGATATGATATCTATTGATAACGTCTCCACGTGTTCATTCTAATTTGAAAATTTTACCTTTAAAAAATTGAATCGCCTACGGTTTATTGGGTTTTCTGTATTTGTGCTTTGTTAATCCTTAATCGTGTCTAGTTTCTACTATACGGTATGTTATTATTTTGTTAGTTTTTATTTTTGATTGTGATTAGATATTTCCTTCCTTAGTCCGTCAATCTCTCAGTTAAGGAATTTAGATGTATTTCCTGTGTACTGATCGATCTGCTGATGTGATGAGGAATCTTAAAACATATTTGTATACCTTGAAATCTTTTCCAGGGACGATTAGATCATTTTATAATTTTGAACTTAAAAGTGTCCAGCATTCAATTATAAAATAAAATATCACCAAAGAATCACACTTTAGATAAAAACTAATGAAATAAGTTGTTAGGTCATCTTTTAGAAAATGAAGAATTCAAATTTGTTTACAGATTCCTTATCATAACAGTAGATATATCATCGAACCGTGTACTGTTTGAACAAAAATACGTCTAAATTGCTATAAATATTTTGATAGATGGACCTAGACAGAATAAATCACTTTCTAATTGGCTTTATTTTGAAATTTATTACAAAGCATAATATATTATATTTGTAGACAAACACAACTATTCAACATGTTTCCAAAGTACTCTCCACATAATATACGAATCAAAACTTTGAGCCTTAGTATGAACATTTTCGAATCTTGTACGGGTTCTTCCAGTAAGTTATATTTTAAGGCATAAATATAAGCGAATTTCTAAAATCATTTTATTTGTAAAGTGTGTTTAAGACCTTTTTTTAAAAAAAATTAAAGAGTTATACAATATTTTGTAAAATTGTTATAGTGTATTAGGTACTGGTTTTTTTTCAAAGTTCTAGTATACAACGTTGACACTAAAAAATCACCCTAAATGTGTTGAAACTCTATTTTTTTGTAAACATTATTATTTATTTATTGTATTTTTAAACGGGTAATACCCAATTACAAATATGAGAAGAATAGACAAAGTGTTCATAAACACAGAATTAACACAAAAATAAAAGTATACAGCTGACAAATAAAATGGATTTCAACAACACAAAATAATTGATAAAGATAAACAATATTTACACAATAAGATTATTTAAATAAATAACAAAAGCTTCTATCGAATTTTTAACATATAAATCAATATTATTTTTATTTACTAGGTGCATTATGCGATTAAATGGGGCATCACGATAATTTTGTTAGTACATTTGTAGTACATTTTTGCCCTGTTTTTAATGTACGTTTTTATTAGCCGTTTCGGGTTCCTAATTTTGATGAACAACCAATAATTATCGAAAACAAATACATTGGTGAAAAAAATTAACTTGTCAATATCTAATAGTCATCAACGAAGTACACAAATTTCATTTTATTATGTGTAATTTTTAATATATTCATTTAATTAATGTTTATGTCTTAAGCGATTACAATAACATTATATGTTTTTTATTATATATTAATTAATAATGAAGATACATTTTTTACAGAGAGCAAGCCTTATGCGATGTTGCGCTGATATGTGATGATGGCGTTCAAATTTTAGCTCATAAAGCAATTGTAGCATCTGCAAGCCCTATGCTGTTAGCAATGTTCAATGGTGGCTTTAAGGAGACCAAAGGAATTAGTATGCCTATTAAAGATATTGAATCTGGTATATTGACGTCAATTGTAACTTGTGCATATACATTTCAGATGGATATCCAGGAAAATAATATAGAAGTAATATAATATACCAAATTATTTTCATTGAACACATTTATTGTTATAATTTTAAATTTAATTTGTATTTCAGAAACTATTGAGAGCTTCTGAATACTTTCAATTTAACTATGCTAAGGATTTATGTTAAAAAAAACATAAACGTCAATAATTGTATTAATTTTATGAGCTTTTCTGAACCTACATCACAAAAAGGGCTATACACTTATTGTTTCTTGTATTGTTTAGAACATTTTAAGTAAGTAGTAAAGATTGGAATTCGTTTGAGAACATTTTAATATATACTAAATGTTTTATTCCTAGTACAATTCTGGAAAATGAATCGCAAGTAATAGAATTATATGAATTAAATTTTGAAGATATTTTTAAGCTCATATCAAATGATCATTTGGTGGTTGAATCTGAAGAAAAGATACTTTGGCAAAATAAAAAATACAATTTAATTTGATTATTTTTAATTGCATTTATGAGATATTAATACTGGCAGTGTAGTATCATACTACACTGAAAATGTAGTATCATAAGTTTTCTAAAATGTTGAAAAAGTTAGAAAAAATCAAAAAAGTAGGAAAAAGTATTCTTTTATGTTGATGGTTTAGATTTATATAGTTTTTTTGGTTGTAGTTTTTAAGAATAAATGCAGATAGTGTCCAAGAATGTAATAATTTTTAGAAGAGCAAAAGGTTAAGAAGCCCATCCGGATATATATTTAAATATATGTCAGGATAGTCAACAATAAAACCATTTTACTTTTTGTGAGAAAATGAATTTGGAAATATAGAGAAAAAGCATAAAGTTGATTAGACATTTTTTAAGACCAAGTATTTCAATAATGTGTTAATTAAAATTATAAAGAAATAAGATCATTATTTTTAGTTCTTATTACTTTATTCAGCATACATTTGTCTGATTTCCTTACCCACGCCAATTTTCTTATTAGGATTGTTTTTAATAATGATTTATTTAATAAATTGCGTATGTTTTTACACATAAGGTGTTATTATTTATTATAGATCTTTGATTTCATTATTAAATGGATAAAGTGTGATCTAGAGGAACGAAGTAAATATTTATCAAATTTACTAAATTACTTAAGGTTACCTTTAATTTCGAGAAAAGCATTTAAATGTATACGTGATGAACCATTATTGAGAAGCCAACGTGACTGTAAGTATTTAAACCGATGCCGACCCTACTGATTACTATATTATATAACATATAAATATTGGATCTTTTTACAATTCACATTTACAATTGTTTTCATATAGTATATTAGTCTCATAATGGATTTTTAATATAAGCCTATCATTTCTAGGTTTGATGGATATCATGGAAAATTATTTATCTGTCGACGTTGATGAAAATATCACAAAAGCAACAAAGAGGACACCTTATTTGTATAAACCAAATGTATATAAATATTTTCTTGAAACTTATTTGTGGCATCCTACTTAGTAAAAATACTTTATAATAATCAATGTTACTTTTTTTTAAGTACATTTATTATGAAATCAAACAATTATTTCTATAATTTTTTCCACATATTTTGATTATTTTATAATCTAAGGAAATATATTTACGATATTATAAAATGTTATTATTTTTGTTAAACATATTTTTGCTGTGTGGGACATCTACATATAGAATACTTTTTACATTTGTAGAAAATGAAATATTTAATTATTTGTTTTCAGTTTATTTTTGCTATTAAAGGTCAATCCAATTGTGATGATTCTTATGTAATGTTTATGGATCTAAGGCGGGAAAATGATCTTAATTGGAAATCATGTGATTATTCATTTTTTTGTCCACCCCATCGAGATGCAACTTTGGTCGTTTCGGAAACTGGAATACTACTTGCAATTGGAGGTTATGATGAATTAGAAAAAGGGAGTAATTGTGTTTATGAACTTGAACTTACTTCTACATCAAAAATGTGGATACCTACAACGCCTTTGCATAGATCACGATTATATTTTTCTGTTTGCACTCAAGGAAAGTATATATATGTGGTGTGTATCAATTTATATTATTTGGAAAACAATATACCTGAGTCCAAAATTTATGTAACATATTGAAAATATATATTTAATATGCGTCTTTTTACTCTCTATTCCGCATAGGTAGGAGGTGAAGATACTTTAGGAGAAACATTAGATTCAATAGAATATTATGACACATATTCAAAGGAATGGACTGTAATAGATAAGCCAATGCCAACCCCTCGGCAATTATGTAGTTTAATAATTCACAACTCTCGTCTATATGTTGTAAGTATGAAATTGTATTTAATGTGTTGTATACAGGTATAGACAGTAATAGTTTAATCTATAGGTTTTAGTAAGTGACAATTTGAATAGGCTTATGGTTTTGTATACATAATTTATGTTATGTTGACATGTAGTAGTGCAGTGTTTTACTTAGGTGACATATGAAATCTGATGTAACACTAAATTGATCTTATGTTTATAAAATAAACTAAACACGAGGTTTTAAATCGTCCCCAATAGTACTAGTATTCTATTTACCGAAATAAAACTATCCAACAACCTAACAAGCTAATAACCATGATAAAAAAACCTAGTGTAGTTTAAATGTTGTACATTTCATGTAGTTGACTTTTTATTCTATGAAGTTTTGTAGACTTGTGGATGTAGATGTACTATTAAGTAGTATAGAGTGCCATAATATGCAAGAAAAACGGTGGTGTTAAATGCGATATGAGCAGCTACTGCTTTATTAGACATAACAAGCGGAGGAAATGATTTATATTTATTTCAATTTGTGCAAATATAGAACATTATTGATGTCTATTAATGGACGTGTTTTCTGCTACACAAATAAAACTTTATCCATCAAACCAATAACAAAAGCTGCCAAACCTAAAGAAATAATTGTAATTGATTTTACGTTTTATATTTAATGTAATTCATTTTTTTTTCTATGAAGTTTGGTGGATATGATGATAGTGATGATGACAACTTTTTAAGTAGCGTAGACTGCTATGATCTACTAGAACAATGTTGGATACAGTGTCATCATCCTATGCCTAGAGCTACTGCTGTTGTAGGATGGGTAACAATGGGCATTTCAGATAGAGAAAATGATATTTATTTATTTGTCGGTAATGAAAAACTGAAAGGCGCTTACAAAATGAACATAAATGATTCAAAATGGGATACCCTACCTGATATGATCAATGCAAAAAGGTTTGCTAGTAAGTGAATAATAATAATTGTGTTTGAGAAATATTATCCGAATATGATTTGTATCATGTTCGGGTATATCCATGTTGTCGTTTCATTGTCTATCTGACCTTTCAAACCTATTTCGGATTTAGAGCGATTGTCAACATTTCACTCTTGTGACTATACTGTAGTACTGTGGCTATCGCTTTGACACAGCAATTGGTTAAAAAAGTCAGTAAAATAATGACAACATGAATAGTTCCGAAAATGATGAAACTAATAGTTTATACTACGAAAGATTTACCTCGTGCATATGATATATATTTATAACACTTTATTTTAAAATGCAGATGCCGTTACTATTGAAAACGATTTATTTGTTGTCGAGAAAAATACCACTTTGTGGTTCACAAAAAATGATGAAGAACCCGAGGGAGTCTTTTGTGAAAGATATATTGCTGAAAAAAACATATGACAAGAGATTGAGTCATCAAATATATTAAGTGATTATGATCACATAATTTGTTTTAATGATGCGAGATTGAAAACATTTAATATTGACATATCATAAACATTTTAATATTATATACTATGAAATTGTAATAATCAAAACTGAGTAATACTAAGTAGTGAATATAAATATATAACTAATATACATTATACAAGTTTAATTTGTTTTTTGCTCCAAACACAAAGAGAAAAAGAAACATCATTGTAAAATTAATATAACTGATTTTGATGGATTAAATTCTCAGTTGGCATTAAGGCTAAACTTAATAGAAGGCTATCACAACTCTTCAAGAGTTTTTGCCGCCACCGACACCTCTTTCCACTCTTTTCGATTTTGTACTTTTTCTTCCCAATTTGGTATCCCTAGTTTCTCTAAGTCCTGCCTTATCCCATCTATCCATCGCTTCTTTGGACGTCCTCTTGGTCTCTTCCCTGTGGGTTTCCATTCGCCCGCCGCTTTAAGGTACTCTGAGCGAAATTTGCATAAGTTAAATTTAAAAAAAGTTTGTCGGGTACACGTTTTATCAGTGTTTTCCATCTAGTCTTGCCTCCAATTTAAATCCTCATAATTATGTATTGTATGTTGTTTTGCTGTTATAAATATTTTAAACATACCAAATCTGTGGCTTGGGTCTAAAAGAGCCATTGTCAATTTTGGGCATAAACGAGTTGGTCCGCTAAATTCATAAATTAAAACATTATTTATATACACTCTGAAGGCAGGTTAGGTTAGGTTTCAATAGTTCAGTACATATGTCCCGAGGGTATAAGCAACCGAATATGCAGTTCGGTAAAATAGACCGACCCAGAATATTACTATTTTTCATTCAGCCGTACTTAACAGTATAAAATAAAAACTAAAATTGTGTCATTACGGACAATGAAGTCTTTAAAAAAAAATTTCTAAATAATTTATAGGATCTACAATTTGTTAATATTACATGGTAGGTTGTATTATGTTAGCGAATCTGACAACTGCGGTGTTTGTTTGTTCGGGAATTTTTTCCTGCCAGTGCCTACGCCTACCTACCAAATTAATTCGACTATCATTATATTAAAAAAAACTATCCTTATCGGTTATCCTTCTGCACAGTTTAAACGTTGGAGAGTTCCGGATGCACCCTGTGATAGAGAGCGGTAGAAGGGGTTGGCGCTGGCGCTGTTATACTGCCAAGTCGTGTCGACGGTCAACGTGCAGTAGCTTGCGGCGGTACGCGTGCAAGACACGGTGCTGTTTTTGGGGTTCAACAGTCAGTCACACGGGTAAGTACTAAACATTTTTTAATTATTTCAAAAAAAAAATAGTTAATCGAGAGGGAGTAGAAGACGTGACGTCGAATTCACTGTGCTTACTTTTTTAACTTTGCCGTGGAGCCGAGACGGTATCGTTTTCGAAATGATGATCGCCTTTTATTTTTTTGTACCAAAACCCAATTTACCGATATGGCGCTTAAATTTTTTTCTACTTCATCCTAGTTTCTATAGATTTTTAGATTGCCGGTTAAAAATGTTAATAATCATTGGTTTAGTGTTTCGACTTTCCGTACTAAAAATAAATAAATAAACGCAAATTTTAACTAACTTACAAATACGTCTCATAACAACAAAATAATAACCTAATGAAAAAATAGTAGAATTTATCTCATTGATAAATGTATTAACGGTAAACGTGCAGATTGTTATTCTTATTGTAAATGATTGTTTTTTTCCATAATCAAAAAATAATAGTACTAAATACACGAACATTTTACTCTAGCTGTATTTCAGTACCACAAAAATGAAAAAAAAATGTCTCAATTTTTTTTTTTGTTAAAAAAATATCTTTAATATTATTGTACCTATTATATTTGATTAATTATTATGGAGCTATATAAGCTTATAGGGAAGCTATGTATAGGAAAGTGCCAAATTGTATTGAATTAAAGACTAAAACGCGAATTTACTTTCTCAAGTGTCTAACCAAACCAATTTCATTTTTTTTTCTGTTATTAAAATTTACCATTTTTTCTAGGTGGGCTAAATGACCGATTTTTTTTTGTTTTTAAAATTTTACTATAAACATTTGTATTTTTCTATTTTATTTTCTAATAGCTTAATAAAAAATCGGCCTTTTAGCCGCCCCCCCCCCTCCATAGAAACTTTTTTTTTTGACGTTTTAGATCTAAAATCCTGACATAATTACGCCAACTTAGGATGGTCCGATTTAAATTCTGTAAAAATATTTGAGCTTCACGGCCTCTTTTCTAGGTTATTGAGGGAATCGATTATTAATATTTTAACTAAAAATATGTTTAAATCCTATTTTAATTTCTCAAATTTAAACATTTTTTATTATTCACTTCCTTGTCTTTTTGAGTAAATAAAATAGTTATTAAAAAATGTACAGAATATTTTTACAGAATTGAAATTCGATCATCCGTAGTAGGCGTAACTATTTCAGGTCTTTAGATCTAAATATTGGTTTCATGTACTACTAAAATGACCAAGTCGTAGAAAAAATTTGTATTTACTAAATGCAATACTATGCAGCGTATACAAGTTACAAATGAACCTGAAAACAAATTGATATGGTCGAAATTTATTAAAACCCCTTTTTTAAATTAAATATTGCCTATATAAAACTGATGCTTAAAACCCGCCCGCTTTCAATCCCCATAATATTGTTTATGCCCGAATAAAGGCATAAGAATACAGATATCATAGTTTAATTAATTACACAAAAATATAAAACAAAATATAACCATCACAATAATCTTAGAGCATGTCATTTTTCCTTAAATTTTTGTGCAACCAATCGTCTATGGCCGCATAGGTACTGGCCGCTGTACTTTGTCATTTTAATCGGCGCATCGTGCATCTGCCCGGTTGCCAAGGGTGTACACGGATCGATCAATACAGGTGTTGAACGGTATACTGCACTTGTGCAAATGCATTCTAGGCTCTAATTCCACAACCTACCACCGTCCCGAAGGCGTCACGTTGGTACGAAACACAAAATCTTTGGCAACAGCACACAATTAACGTTACGGTAATTATAGTACAAACATTTATAATTATTAAGAAAACAGTTAGGTCAATAAAACGTTCAAATAACATAAAAAAATTATTCGATATTTTCGAATAAAAAATTATTTAATATTATGTAAAGATAACATATTTTGTTTATTTATTCGAAAACGACAAATAATCGCGGACAAAGCTACACTTTAATGGACACCCTATTTTTTTCGTTTTTTTTTAAATTATTATTCGATAGTATTTTGCATGCTGATTACGAATATGTAAACATTTTGCCCAGCTCGCACTTAGTTTGGAAGTTACGGATTAGTTTTAAAGTTCGCCGACGTCGACAGACGCGCGCGCCCGGCACCGCACGTCTACCCGCGCCCGCTGGGTACTTTGTCCGTCGATCGCCGCTCTCGACACGACGGCCGCCCGTTATACTGAATACCTCTTGAGGGGAACGGAAAGCGCTATTTATTAAGGAGCAAAGGATAGGCAATATTTGACAAAAAATGTATCTCGTAGCCATTGTTCATAAGCCTATTAATTTCAAGGTGAACGTATATTACAATTTTCTAATTACTATACTTTTAAAGTTATTTTTCTCCGTGTTATGACGAAAGTTTGATAAAAAAATTATGTGGGTCTCGGCGGGACCCGCGGCAGAAGTGAAACTTCAAAACGGTGTGTTGCTGAACTTAAAAAAATTGTGTAATAAAAGATACGCTATTGTAAAGATTTGTACATTAATTAAAATAGTATAAAGTTGGAAAAAACAAAAATGTATTTCTTAGTGGGGGCCGATCATTGACGTCTTCGCAACTTGAATGCATTTTGTACTGTTATACGGCAGATGCAGTGGACTTATATGTTTTAACGCCAACATACACTAACATAATATATCCACATACACTCATAAAATAAACGCATTCTAGACAGCGCTCTTGAATTGAAGAATTTTCACAAAATTACATACTTTGTCTATTTGTACTTCTTAATGTTTTACATTGAACGTGGTGAATTTGTTTGAATACAAAATACGAGATAATCAAACTAACTCGGTGGTTACAATCTGTTACTTAATTATATTATGTTGACGCAACCAGTTAGTTAGTTTGTTAATTATTATAACAATAAGTGTTTGTTAACGAAAAGGCAAATCATTAGCTTGTACTTATATATACATTAAGCCAACAAAAATTAGTACATCAGAATAATCAAAATATGAAAAATAATAATATATTAGTCAGTCAGTGATATTAAAAAAAAAAGATTACAACTTAACTTGTACTTGTCATTATTATAAATTCGGACTTTTTTTTACGTTTTGTCGTGTCCAAACTACATTTTAATATGTTTTCTTAGCTAAAAATAACGGTTTTAATCGAAGTTAATGCGTCGTAATTATAATCTTGTATATTAACACATTTCGTTAAAGTAGTCTTGAGTTTAATTTTTAGTCTACAACACGACTAGGTCGGCTTGGACAACTTTTGAGACAAGATATTTTGCCATCCTGGGGAATTGGGTATGGTGCGGTGGTTTCCCGTTGTCTTCCGCACCGGTAAGGATAGGTTAAAAAAAAATGTTTAAATTTATTTTTTACTCGGTTTACTATGTTAAAAGCTTTTTAGTTGAAACTGTGTAGTTATTCAAAGTAAAAGCAACACAAAGTGCATCTGTAAATGAAGGCTACAGTAAAGGCCAAATCGCATTATGGCATTATTGATCTTTAGTTTTTTCCTACCGTTGGTTAGATTGTATGCGCGTACCCAAAAACAAAAGCATCTAATAGCAGATAATGTCGTGTGTAATTGTTAATAATAATTTATAACAGACGTGCTCCAGTTCAATATATCACTTTAATCATTTTTACAAACTTGATCACTTTACACTGGAAAATTAAAAAAATATATTTGAGATTATTTCAGGGTTTAATAATTAACTGCAATCGTTTTTTTTTTCTGTTAGCTTTGGCCTTAGCGACAACGACCGCCACCACACACCGAGAACACAATAACGTCCAACTGGTCCAACATGTTATCCGTCCGCGGATTGGACCTGGTCATCACGGCCACGGTGGTTCTTATCTTGGCGTCATATTTTTCATCGTCCATATCCGTCCATGCGTGAGTACAGTGTTTTTCTAAATAAAGTGGTACAAATCATTTTTACACCATTTCACAGAAAAGACAAATGCAAATCGAAAATGTATATTCAACACATTACGGGAGTGTCATTGATTGTAAATTATGTATAATAATATAGCATACAGGGCGGCCCACATTGATTTGACAAATGAAATAACTTTTGTTCTAGTGAACATTTTTTTTTTTTTTTTGATAAATAAGTAAAGGTATTTTATCTGCGCGCATTTCTCTACCGCACTCCGCCTCTTTAGTTAAAGAATTGTAAACGAAATATTATTTTCTGAAATCAAAATAACCGCCAAACTACAATAACTGAACTTTAAATAGCAATAAAAAAACGTTCAGGTACACATATGACCTTTAAATTTTATGTTATGTCTATGAAAAGCATAATAAAATTAGTAATTTATAATTTTTTCGATATTGGTTGGATATTTTAAAAAGGGACTTTTGAGCAACTAGAATTAATTTTCGGACCACTGCGACAGCAGCTTTGATTTGAAGAGTGTAATATTGGCAAAGTAAGCGCGGATCTCTCACGTAATGCCCAACTATGATATAATATTAGCACAAGACAGTGTAAAAACTGAACGTCAGAGTACTCAAAAAAAAAAAAGGTACCCGAGTTTGATTGATTTAATTATTTTTGCTTATAGAAAGTGCACCAATTATGATACAGCGGATCATAACAGTCTGATAAAAAGGCTAATGTGGCAAACGGAACCTTGTCGATATAATAGTTTTACAAGGCCAATACCGGAAAGCGGACCGACGAGGGTCTGGGCCAGAGTGGACAAGTATATTATCCGAAAATCTTCTACTGCTCGACAGTTGGTTAGTTGGCGCACAGTTGCCCGTTTCCATATTTTTTACTATCATTATTCACTTACTGGAATTTCATCATAACACTCCAGACACTCCAGATAAGTATAAAACCCCGAGCGAAAAGCGCTAATCCAATATAATAATATCTCGGGCTTGTAAGACGAGTGATTTTAATCTGGTTTAAAAGTAATATAACAATGTTGCGACTTGTAGTAGGCCGAAAAAGGCGCTGGCGCGTTTTAGGATCGAACATATCTCATTTTTCAACTGTCATCCATTTTACACTAGATAGTTTTTAATCGAGAATTGTACTTATCGACCGTGTGTACTATTTGACCGTTTATTTGACGTAGAATTTAACTCCAGACGTGCTGATAAAATTTCGGTGGCGCGACAGCCGTCTGGCGCATTCTTTATCCAATTTGAACGTACGAGGAAAGGACAAACTTAAGCAGCGAATTTGGACTCCACTCGTTGACATAGTCAACTACGACACGGACTCAGATCCCCAAGACATCCTGGAGACGGTGCAACCGGACGGCACGGTTATCTATTCGGCCAGGTGATATAGTGTATTATATTGTTTTATTATAATTGTTAACTGTGGTGTTTAACTCTGGGAGTTTTGTCAAGACGTACGATAATAACGGCGGACGTTGGTTGCAGGTTGGAAGTGCCGTCTGAGCTGTGCACGATGAACTTGGAAAAGTTCCCGTTCGACAAGCAGAAATGTTCCCTGTTACTGCAGAGTCGTGAGTAGTGTTGTCCGGTGGATGGATTTCTGATTGAGTTATATCGCGTGTCTTGTGTTTTCTGCAGTGTTGTACAACAATACTGATTTGGAACTGTTGTGGGAACACGTTTCGCCGGAGGAGCTCAGGAGCAGCTTAGAATTTACCCAATACAGCTTGGCGTCGATTCGGACGACCGTGACGGTCAGCGACCACTACGAAGAATTGGGTACAGACTAAAAAAAAAAATTCCAGTTAGAGTGGGTTCAGGGCATAGTGGGGACGAGGAGATCACAGGTCTACAGAAATTATTATAACTGAAAGCGATAAAATCACTTTTCAATAAACGTTTCGATGCAAATCTGTAGAGAGTAGGTTCAAACCGGTACAGTCCAAACTAAGTACACTATATAAAATTAAGCACAGCAAAAAAGTATTATACGTTAGTAAGTATAGCAGTAATTGTTATTAGTATTGAGTAAGTAAGGGAGTTCCAGTGTTCGCAGTTAAAAGTTACAAATGTCGTTAAAAACATTCAACCTAATGGCAATTACGTGCTTGAATATTAATTTTTAGTATTACAGTGGATCGATTAGGGTTGATCGTCTGTATGCTAAAATAAATTTCCATAGTTACACATTAATCATAATTAACTCACGCATAGCAACATGGAAATTTGGCGTTTTTCTCAATTTTTGAAGGGGAAAGGTGGACTTTTTAAAATGTTTGGCCCAATAAAGTACCTTTCAGGTATAATTTCTGATCTATAGAGTTGCTATATGAAGACATCGGTTCGGCGGCTTAAAAGATGTCCAGACACAAAAATTAAAAAACAATACCTTCTCAGTTCCGCATCGAAGCTAATATAACATATTTTATATAAATAACTCACATTCGATTACAATGATTTATTGTCGTTGTTTTTTTTGTACCATTTTTTTCATCAAGCTGACAACTACAGCCAGTTGAAATTATACTATGAGCTGGGTCGCAAACTCGGCGTTCACACCGTGGCCTACTACTTCCTGGGTTTTTTTATGGTAGTCATGTCTTGGGGGTCGTTTTGGTTGGAGCCGAATGAAGCCTCCGGCCGCGTTAATATAGGTGAGACACCCTTTTAAAGTATACCTAAGAATAGATTGTATTTTTTTTTTATCTTTGTGTCTCCTACCTACTATAAAGGAATCTATCCGATGATGGCGTTAATCGTTCAGTACTTGTATTCGGAAAGACTGCAGCCAATATTGTTGAACATCAAAGAAATATGGCTCCTCGTATGCATTTCATTTATAGTCAGCTCTTTAATGGTGTCTGCGGTTGCGCACTTCATATCGCGGCAAAAGTAAGTAAAATAAAAAAAGCAATTTACTGTGCTGCAATATGTTGCTTCCTATTTGTTATTCCATGTTTCGATAAAAAAACATGTGGCAATCCACAAACGAATGTGGACACGGCTGAAAAGTTAAATTTTTTTTTATACTACGCAATATATATACAGGGTGATTTATTAAGGATAAGACACTCGTTTTCTCGGGTTATATTAATATTTTAAACAATAATTTTTTGGTACACGTTGTAATTTTTATGACATTTTTTTATAAGCTTCTATTGGCCTAATAGTCTAATATAAGACCTTCATTTTTTTGAAATTTTTATTAATCATATTTACCCAAAAAATAGAGATTTTTTATGTTTTAATTTTATTTGTAAGGCACATTTTTCACTTTTTACTCCTAAAAAATAAAAAATATCAAATTTGACCAAGACATGTTTTATATATATTTTTTTTAATAAAAAAACTGAAATTATACATTTATTTTTTCAGATTTTGAAAATTTTATAATTAAAAAAAAAAATAGAAATAAATCTCGGCTCATTTCCGTTAGTAGACCAAACGATTTGATTTGAGTCTTTGGTTTTATGATAAAAATTTCAGAATTTTAAAACGGGTCGAAATCGATTTTTTGAGAAAAATAACATTAAAAACCTCTATTTTTGGGGTAATAATGAGTGATAAAAATTTCAAAAAATGAAAGTCTTATAATAGACCAATAGAAGCTTTGACTCGGAATGCCCATGTAATAAGCCAGGGTTACTTATATTACATTAATTTACATATTAGTATAATATAATAGCTAAGCTTTTTTTTTGTATAATGGTCAGTCAGTTTATTATTGTCTAATATTCAGTCAGTTACTATGGTCAACCAGTGACTCTTAAAAGTGTTTATAATTAAACAGTTAAACTTATCTTTTAAAAAGTGTTTATTACTTCAGTGTCTATTTCATCTTCATTCTTTTTTTTATTGGCTCACGACACCCCATATATATATTATAATATATTGTAAATGTGTTAACGTACAGTATTTTTATTTCAGCAAACAATTCAAACTGACTTTAATTCCTCAAGTTCTACGAAAGTTGTTATCCATCGTTGGTAGCAAATTGGACAAATTCGAATGGAACAGGGGTGTGGACGAAAACGAAAGAAGTACTATTGGAACAGCAAACGTAGGTTCTAGTTTTATCAGTACTCTAAAAAAATGCATTAAGAGGATCGCATGCGGTCTTTGTTTAAGGAGTTTTAGTACAAGCAATATTTATAAAAATAAGGTTTTAATAACTTTTTGACCGTGTCGATTAATTTACCGGTTAATTCGTATAAGATTCGAGGTATTATTTTTATTTTAAACAATCTTTTCTATGAGTATAAGCCATTTTGGTTTATTTTAGACCAAAAAGCCAGACAAAATGTCCTCTACATAGGATGGTCTGTAAAGAGATTTCATTATGTATTCCAGTTCTTTGGCAACTTAACTATATATTATCATGTAGGAAGCCGATTTTAATTTAAAAATTTCAGTTTCCTGTAATTAAATATAAATTAAAATGGCAATTTTTTCAATATTAAAACCCAATTTTTTATAGAACAAAAGCAATACATCAAAAATCGATTTCCTACATAATTTAGTAACCAATTGCCAAAGAACTCCCATCCTAAGTAGTCGACATTTTGTTTGGCTTTTTCGTATAAATATAAAAAAAAACAGACCGCATGTAATCCCCTTAAACAAACAACACCTGCTTACCCGTGCATCTTCTAGGACCTAGGTTGTTATCGTCCTCTTCCCCTTTTCCACACACACACACACAAATGGTGGTTTTGGCCAGGCAAAACTCCTTTTTCTCTCTCTCCACATTACTCTGTTGACTGACCACATTAACTGAACGAATTCGATAGTTGTTGCGTTACAACACAACAAAATCGCTTAAACATAAACGATTCAAATAATTTTAAATCATTAAAAACAGAGGACGATATATCAGGTTTTTTTTTTATTATTTCGCAGAGAATAGAAATATTATTTCTCGATTATTAAGTCGATTGTTTCTCCTGATTTACAGACTGTGGAGCACGTGATGACCTCACAAGAATTTGCATTATGGATGGATCGACTAAGTCGCGTCCTTTTCCCGGTGGCCTTTCTTCTATTTAATTGTATCTATTGGTTTTACGTTTACGTGTAAATCCACCTAAAAAATTGGGATTTTTAACGACAAAAAGATAAACAGCCATGTTCATATTTCTTAAAATCGTATAAAAGGTAGACAGACAATTACACATAAAGAACAACAGTATGTTTTTAACGAAAATTAGAAAATTAGTAATATAACTTTTATAACAATTTATCTATCGTCGTTTTTCCCATTTAAATAATTTACTGCTTTTTTAGACTACTTATCTCATGTTTGATTACATTTTGAAATCGTTTTTTGCGAATTCATAGTCATAAACATGGACGGATGTACGCTCCTTGCCGTGGGCTTTATGGCTTCGGCACTCACTAAATCCTAAATTCAACTGCTAATTATAATACAGCCATAGCCGTCCGAAATCCACACTTATTCATTCATTAGTTCATTTTAATCATATTTTATATTGCATTTAACAGAAAACAGTTAGACTTAAATTTTTTAATATTAAATACTCGGTAATTATTAGCGTCTTGAATGGTTTATTCATATATTATCAGAGTATTTTTCTTAACCACATATATCTTTATGCGTTGTCCATTAAATGAAAACCGTACATCGCCGGACTGTCTAGGTTCATCATTATGGAACTTACTGGTATTATCATATAATAAGTAAAATGTGCAAACATTTTAGTAATAAGAAAAAAAGTAAACTAAATCCATGGACAATTTTTAATAAAACGAAAATGCAACAATCCATTATAATATGTAATAAAGTAGTTTATAAAGTATAGGGATTTATTGAATAAGCTAATGTATATGGCAAAAAACATATGTTATGGTACTAAAATTATTAATTCACGAAATAATTTTAAAATAGTTTGGAATCTAATCAAATATTATATTATATTATAGAAAAGTAGAAAAAAATGTTAGTGAAATAATAGATGACACAAGGAAGACTGTTGACCTTTCTCAAACTATTGTCATGATGCCCCTTTAAATCGCATAATGCGACTAGTAAATAAAAATAATATTAATTTATTTGTTAAAAACTCGTTAGAAGATTTTGTTAATTATTTAAATAATCCAACTGTGTAAATATTGTTTATCTTTATCTATTATTTTGTGTTGTTGAAATCCATTGTATTTGTCAGCTATTATGTTAATCTGTATACTTTTATTTTTATGTAAATTCTATGTTTATGTTCCTATTCTTCTCTTATGTGTAATTGGGTTTAAAAATACAATAAATAAATAAATAAATGTCTTTTCTTCAATGTCTAATAAGTAAGCATGCAGTTCCCAATACACGATCAATCAAGAATATCAATGTATTATTTTAACTTAAAAATATCTATTTGTATCATGACCCTTTTTTTTGACATACGAAAACCCTTAAAAAGTAAAAAGTTTGTTTTTAATTAACTTTGAAATTTATAGAAAATACGTTACATTTTTTATGTAGCCTTTGCTACTAGGGAGGGTATTCTAGAGATGGGCTCTCCCTCCTTTAATTACACCTATGGATTTGTATGGAAAAAATCGCCTTCGATGATGTATCTAACCTATGTTTTCAAACAGGGTTTTGAACCCAATTTGTATTTGAACTTCACAGTGATAGTTTTCAAAACCGATTATGAGTCATTGAACAATTTACCAACACAACGTTAACCGCTATATAAACAGCTGTACAATGTATTGTACCTACGCTAGGAAATGTGTCAATATTTTTGTAATCTTCAGTATAAAAACTCTCATACATACATACATATGAATATCGTAAAAAGGCCTTTGAATAGTATGTTCTTTTTCGAATTCCAGCAAGCAAAATAATAATTTCAACCATTGCATCAGCCCCTAACCTAACCCAGCCGGTTGTTTTTTTTAATTGTTCTCAATTGGCAATGTAAAATATAAACAGATATTTTATCGAGCGTTTCAATTGAAATTCTATTAATTTGCTGATAAAACTAAATTGTTATTGTGTTTTCTGCTGTTGTTGTCGTTGTAACTGTTCTTATTTGTACACATTTTTTTATATGCGAAAATATTTCACTGAAAAACAACTTATTTTTTTTGTTCCACATAGGTCGGTACTATTAGTTTTTATAACTTTATGCGAATTGTTGTTTTCAATATTCCACAGTATTTTTTGACCCTGCATATTATTTTTCTGTTCGAATACATGTAAAAGCAATTTTCATAGATCAAATTGATTAACACAATACAGTATACCTTGGTAACCTGTACTTTAAGTATAATTTTAATTCCTAAAACTACAAATAAAGAATAAAGATTAATTAACCCCACTATTTTTCAAAACGAATATGCTTTGCTTAAAAGTTAATTTAATATAATATAAGTTGGCGCTTAATTATCAAAATGTAATCTATAATACGTGATAATTACGAAACGATTTAAAAGTATATATATATATATATATATATTTTATTAATTGAATACAGGGTGATCATATTATCGTGAACTATTGTATATTGTATTTATACAATGCAATTTAAATTTTTGTAATGGATTTTTCCTTTGAGCATATCCGTCGATAGCCATACTTAAGTTTAGGCTACTATTTGTTTTACCGACTATTAAAAGCAGTAGTTGTGAATGAATAAAATATTTATGTGCGCAAATCGATATCGATATCGTAAATAGTATATCTGATTAGATAACATTTTCAAGTTTTGACTATTTGCTATGACCTTCGAATTTTCAACGTAAAAAGTAACACTAAGATGTGCACAAAAAAAAAAATTTGTAATTCGAATATCGACAATTTTATATATTGTTTTTGTCGTTCGATCGATGTAATCTTCTGCTTAAAGGATGGCAAAAAAAATGACTAACACATTCTCATGTGTGCACAAGTGCCGAAATTGTATACTTTTCGAAAATATTTTCCATTTATTATAACCTTAGCATTTTTAAATTTGGTAAAAAGTTTTTACCAAATTTAGTTTTTAAAAAAACGTATGTTTTTTTTGTGCTAAACATAGTGTTTAAACTAAGGAAGAGAGGGGAAAAGAGAGGAGATATAACCTAAAGTACCACACGAATATTCGTTGTTGACGCCATCAGTCTTAATACATCATTATAATAAAAAAAAATACATTTTTTTAGAAATTAAAGAATACTCTCTGCTCGCTTCACATCGCATAAAACAAACAACAAGTCGTTTTTCGATTTATATAAGAAGTTCCCGTTTGACAGTTTAAAATTTGAGTGTTATACATTTTATCATATTAATTTTTTTTTTTTAATTCACTGTAAAATCGACAATCGTAGAAAGGAACATATTATTCGTTTTGTAGCCTAGTTAAACTTAAAACTAAATTAAATATAAAAGTGACTTGGTAATTTTCTCAATAATTGTTAGATGTTATTCATGTTTATTATTTTATTTCTAAACTATAACAAGACACCATACTTTATACTTATTACAACTACTCATTTACGTATAACACTTTCTTATTGTGCTTGCTTTATACTAAATTGGTTTTAACCTACTACCCACAGATTCAAAGTCGTAGGGATTTTAGTCTATATTTTTGAACTTAGATTTACAGCGCTCCATAACTTTATTAAAAATAGTCGAATTAGTTTCAATGATATATAGATTATTCTTAAGACATAGTACTACCGTTAAACGTTTACAACCCAAACGAATATCACAGTCCCCCTCCCGTAAAATAGATAGTATTTTTTTTCTTTCTTTCACTTTTACAAGTTTTAGGGATTTTAGTCTGAAAATTTGACAAAAGGTAGATCTAGAATTAAACTATGACTTCTCAATAAATGTTATTATTGATGTTTATTTTTTTATTTCAAAAACTATAACAAGAAACCATATTTTATACTTGCTATACCATACTTATTACAACTACTCACTTACGTATAATACTCTCTTACTGTGCTTGATTGGTTTTAATGAGAAGTGTTAATTCGAAAGTAATTTTATCACTGCTTGTCGTAATCATTTATATAGATCTGCGCGTTCCTCTCACCTCAATATGCCATGACCTTAATGTATTTGTTCAATTTATTATTAAACAAATCAAAATTGACCAATACAAAATATTATTCTATCATAAATAACTAGAAATTTATGGGATTTTTTTTAAACGTATATTTGAATTATAATAGTCAGTTAATAATTATAAAATAGAATTTTATAACTGTACAGATTTTGTAATTTTATAAAATGTATTTGACAATAGCCATTATAATAAATTGCGAATAAATGTTGCGGCTGTGGATCAGGTGTTTCGAGTTCTATGTTAGCTGGATCTTCAATTATTCTAGACTGATAATTCCTTTTACAGTATGAATTTGATTAAAATTTTTTTGGAATTCGTTACGGTACGTACGTAACACGGTCTATGGTACATACCGCATCGTCCTCGAAGCCAACAGAGGCCCAGAGTTCAATTAAGCTCGAGTTGACGTTAAAATCTATCCGATTTTTAATTCGTCGCATTACTACATTGGGCTGAAATATTCCACGCATTCTCCGGATATCCTGCCCGATTCCGGCAATTACAATGTCTTTATTAGGTCTGCAAAAATCATTATAGAACTTACCCAAGCTTCGTAAGGCGGTGTTCATATTATTTTCGGTAGCATTGATTATTGAGTCGTGGTACATTTTGTCGCGTGATGCATTATTGAAAAACAAGGTGCTGTAGAACCTCCTGAACTCTTCCATCGTTTCGGACACCGCATTGTCGTACGTTGTTATTGGGAACTCATTGTTAGTTAACGAGAGGTTGGCCAGAACGAGCACCGCCATTTCGTCGATTTTTTGGATCATTTTCCTAAACTTGGTTATACACACCGCGGTTGTGGTGGGATTTTCAATTGTTTTACACACGAGTACTGCGGCCAAAGTGTAATGGTAACAAATGTTTAGAGTGCTGGCATACTGACAGCTGAAAAACTGATGTGCTTGACGGATTTGCTTACGTAAGTGAGTAGTTGTAATGAGTATGGTATAGTAAGTATAAAGTATGGTTTTGGTAAGTTTAGAAATAAAATAATAAACATGAATAATAACAATTATTGAGAAAATTGTACACGTCATAGTTCAATTCTAGATCTAACTTTTGTCCAAAAAGTTATGAAGCGCTGTAAATCTAAGTTGAAAAATATGTGGTGAACAACGACGATCATATAGACATCGGTTAAAATTGTTTTTGATACGCTTCAATCGGGTTGGCTGTATATGAATATTTATTCTGATATTGCTTCGAGCTTGAAATAAAAAAACACGAGAAAAATTGGTGTCTAAAATGTACATTTTTTATTCTATTATAAAACGTGTAAAAAAAAAAAACCATTGAAACGGCATTATTGTTTTCTTTGACGCGTGAAAGATATTTTATATTTACATGGCGTAACCCCAATGTTTGTTATGTCCGTATATTTTAGTTATAAATTGGTCACTGACTGAGTATGTAAATATTCCTCTCTTAATGTTTTTTTTTCTTCTAATAAATCCTATTTGTCGAATAGATATGGTTTCTGGTATTGTGATTGTCATACCTAATTCTCTAAATTATGAACACTAGATATAATATATTGTTTGGTATGGACAAAAACCATCAGTGAAGGTGGAATGGCCATAAATAGTTATCACCTAAAATTCTGGTGTCTGGCTGAGATTTAATTGAGTAGCTTAAAATTAAAACAACAAGCATAATTGCAAAGTATTAAAAATAATCATTTGGGAGCAGGTTTAATCTTTAAATTGAATTTCCTCAAAAACATGATTCGTACTAATTGTATGCAATAATTATTGGCTAATTTTAAGTACATTATTGCCTTCACATTGCTCTTACCAATACCTACTTCATATTTCTACTAAATAAAATATACTATCGACGACAATGTCACATTAACAACTTTATGCCTTTTTTATGAAAATCATTTTATCAACTAGCAATTGTTTTCGTCTTAACTTCTTCCGTTTATCTTTCCTTTAATCCTAATTATTTTTATTACAATTTTCGCCGATTAAATACTTTTTTAAAACACTATCGACATTTTAAAATTAACAGTATTTGCTTCGTTTGATTGTCAAACCGCAAAAAACTCCATCACACATCCTGATTCAACACACAGTGATAGTTTTTATAAATTGTTTTTCCAATATGTACTGTTTTTTTTTTAATTAGTATAACTCA